TCCTTTGAGCCACAGGCACTGCCCTGTTGCCTCTCCTTTTCTTATGAGAACACGAGTCATGTTGGATTAAAGTCCATCCTACACCAGTACTGACCTCATCTTAACTAATTACATCCACAATGATCCTATTTCCAAGTAAGGTCACATTCTGAGGTACAGGGGTTAGGACTTCAATATATATTTCGAGGTGACAAAATGCAACTCAGAACAAGGTACTTTCGGGAGGTAGAAAGACACTCCCGGCTCCTGTGACAGGCCAGTCAAACATCAAACAAAGCCCTATTAAGAGTTGGTGGCCCATCTTCTGATATAGGCCTCCATCCTCCAGGGGAGGCAGAGAAATGCCTGCAGGCGGATGTGGGAGCAGCCAAGGTTCCCAAGATTAAACACCCCTACGCAACGTGTTCCCTCTGACCTGGCTTTGTGCCAGGGGACATGCTTCACCTGAGCTGAGTTTCATGCTATGGCCATTGGGAAATAGACTTCTGAGTGTTCCACATTCCACACTTCATGGAGGTCAAGACTTCAGAAGTGTAAACAAATGCAACCAGTTTACTGAGGTTTTGCCCAAGGGGCAGGACTGGTGCAAAGCAGGGAAAGAAAAATTGCACTCCACGTGGGTAGGGAAAAGGAGAAAGCCTAGGAGGGCTTCATGGGGGCAGTGGCTCAGCTGGATGCGGACAGCGAGTAGGAGCTTGTTAGTCAGATTCAGAGAAAAGGGGAGTCAGAGAGCAGAGGTGTCCAGGCATCTACCCTTGTGCTTGACTGAAACATCCTCGGTCTCTTCCTGCTTCTCTGTCCAACTCATTGGTACTACTTCTTGGGGCAAAAGCCCATCTTGGGACTCCACCCTGGGCTCTCAGCTCCTGGCCATCAGACAATTTATTTAGCTTTGAAAACTTTACCGTTTTGCCTGCTTTCCCTCTCTTTGCCACAATAATTTTTTTTTGGGGGGGGAGCTGAGTTTGAACCCGCCACCCTCGGCATATGGGGCCAGCGCCCTAGTCCTTGAGCCACAGGCGCTGCCTGTCTTTGCCACAATACTTAGTCAAGCAGCACAGCTTGCTTGATTTTTCTTTTCTTTGAAATTATCATCCTTTCTCTGTTATTTCCTAAGTGCAGTGGCCCTCAAAGTGTGGTGACTTTGAGCAACATCAGCATTACTTGGGAATGTGTTCTGAATTCAGATTCCTAGTTCTCACCCCAGACCTATGTCGTCATCAGAACCTGTGTCACTTGCATTTTAATAAGGCCTCCAGGTGATGTTGAGGCCCAGGAGAATTTGAGAACCAGTGATTAGGGCAACAGTCTCCCATAATCCCACCATAAGTTATCCTGACGGCAGCTACTACATTAATTTATTTACAGCCTTCATTATGGCAAGGTATCTGCTCCAAAGCCACCTATGGCTCCCAATCTCCTGCTCCAAGAAGGCTAAACTTCTCCATCCTGCTTTTAAAGCTTCATCAGCCACTCACTCCCATCCCCCAAACTTGTTCTCACTGGACTGCCTAATACACCTTGCATATTAGCTGTAACAAAATGCTCACCTTCTAAGCATCTGCCCACCACCTCCATCCACTCACCCTGCCCCAACCAGGGGTGGAGCAGGATCTTTAGAAACCCTGAACCATATCCACTGGATGGTGTCTCTCTCCCACATGGAAACAAAAATAAACAGAATATTTAGCTGTAAAATAATTATGCAAAAGTCAACCAAATTGCTGACTCTGTCCCATAATGGTTGGTTTGCTGCTTTAAATATATGTCAAATTCTTTGTAAAAAGGGATTTGAAGTACCACTCTGCTTTCCTAGTGCTCCAAATCCATGTTCAATATATCTACTGATTGGTCTAGTTCCACCTTCGTAGGTCCAAATTCTACCCCACCATTGAGTACTCTGCTTATCTTATGAGCAAAATTGGATAAATGAATGAATGAATTCATTTCAATGAATTTGAAGTCTGTCTGCTCAGTCAGAGGAAAGGCGTTTTTGGATGTGATTTTTTTCTATTTTCCCCCCGTTAGCACCTGTACAGTAGATTAATAAGTTCTAGCTGACTTCAGGACCCCTGTTTATTGCCCCTCTGACCAGTAGCTATGGTGGGCATCCCACCAGGGTGCTGAACATATCATAATTTCTCCACAAATACCTAAACCTATTTGTCGGAATCCTTTCAGCCAGCAGGCACCTACTGAATGCTCACAAGAGTGTGACACTGGCTCAGCGCCCATAGCACAGTGGTGAGGGTGCCAGCCACATACACCAAGGGTGGCGGGTTCAAACGTGGCCCAGGACAGCTAAACAATGGGAACTGCAACAAAAAATAGCCAGGTGTTGTGGCAGGCGCCTGTAGTCCCAGCTACTTGGGAGGCTGAGGCAAGAGAATCGCGTAAGCCGAAGAGTTGGAGGTTGCTGTGAGCTGTGACGCCACAGCACTCTACTAAGGGCGACATAGTGAGATTCTGTCTAAAAAAAAAAAAAAAAAAAAAAAGAGTGTGACACTGCCCACAAGCTGGAGACTCTATATATTAGCAAAGACACCAGCTGACAGATGAGGGCCATACCTGTAAGATGCTTCTCCAAAGTTTACAAAACAAGATCTCTTTTTAAAATGGATCGATTAATGCTGAATGTTTGAACATCATTTATAAACCCAGCCCCACCTGAATGCCAGATACCTAAGACCTGTTAATGAAAGAAATATTTGAACATTAAAAATTTCCCTATTGCCAGAAGTGGTGGGTTCAAACCCAGCCGCGGCCAAAAACTGCAAAAAAAAAAAAAAATCCCTATTTGTAAGAAACTTTCAAACCTCCAATTAATAAATAGTGAACTTGCGCAAAGAATGAGTCCTTGGAGCTGAAATGTTCACTGGGGAGACTGCTGTAACATTTGAATTTGTACTGTCTGTAGGATTCTGCAGATAGAAGTGTACGCGTTTTGTTTTTTTTTTTCTGCAGTTTTCGGCGGGAGTTGGGTTTGAACCCGCCATAGCTACGGGGCTGGCGCCCTACTCCTCCGAGCCACAGTCGCCGCCCCAGTGTACACATTTTTAAACGACTGCGTAAAGGACACGCGCCAGCAAGCTGTGGACATCTGGCCAGGAACTGCCCCATGGACACACCTCAGATGTAGCCGCTGAAATCACCCAGTCAGTCCCCCTTCTCTTCTCTCCTAAGTGTGTTAGCCAACCTCCCGAGAGGCCTGCTTCCACTGCCCCTTATGACTCACCGCCCATCAATGGGTTTGAAAAGAGCCTGGTATTAGGACAGGCTCCTAGCCCGGGGGGCCGGCCGCTGCTCTTGCCCCCTCGTTCGCCGCCGTCCATGGTGCTTTCCTGGCCCAGCAAGCTCCACGTTCCACTTCAGTTGCTCAGGAAAGTCCAAACTTCATGCTCCCCCTGCTCCTGAAAAATTCCAGTTGTGTAGCTCACTGAGCTGCAAACGTCCTGGGCAGACGGTCTGCAGCAGAGAACAGTGCAGCCGGGGTAATCTGAGTCTTACCTGTGGTCAGACGCACGCCTGCACCCACACGCACGCGGGTGCAACTTCCACGCTACCTAAATAGCTGGAGGCTGGCCAAAGGGCACAGCAGCCCCCAAGCCCCAAGTCAGCAAAGTTGCTGATGTCACGTCCTTTCTCAAACTGAGACCAATCAGGGAGGAAGCTTTGTAGTTTTATCAGGAAGGAAAAGCATAGTTTGTAACTTTTGGAGAGCACGGGAGCAGGAGAGTGGGGGAGAAGAGAACAGGCCGGTTCTCTCTCGCAAGTTTGTTACCTTCCTGGGCTCTCCTTTGTTAGGTGGGAGCTTGTGGCTGGGACCAGCCCCAGCAGCCTGAGCTGAGAAAGCTGGTTTTGCAGCAGCCTTGCTGAGCTGCATGCACAGCAAAGTGCACAGCTCGCCCTGGCCATCTGCACATGTGCTTTCAATTTTGCTGGGAGTTTCTGATGGGAAAATGTGTCTATATGTTACAAAAATGTACTTTGGAAAGAACTATTGTATGCCTTCAGCTGCAAGAATTTCATGAAATGTCCTCCACACCCTTCCTCCCCACATTTTATTTTCCACGTCTACATAGAACATGAATCCTTACAATTGGAAAAATGGACTGGTTCGTGGCATGTGGGTGATGGGGGAGACCCAGTATCTTTCAATTGTTCTTTATGAATGTTATTTGGCCTAGACAAGATATTTGGGCACCTGCGGTACCAGCTACTTGGGAGGCTGAGGCAAGAGAATCGCTTAAGCCCGAGAGTTTGAGGTTGCTGTGAGCTGTGACGCCATAGCACTCTACCGCGGGCGACATAGTGAGACTCTGTCTCAAAAAAAATAAAAAGCTATTTGGGTGTTCTGTGTGTGTGTCTTTTCAGATAAACTCAGTTTCCTTATACCCCCGGGTACTGTTTGTACCTCTCTTCCCAGAGAGGCGGGGGGTGGGGGCGGGCGGGGATCTTTCGTCCTCGCCGCCGGAGAAGGCGCTGAGTTAGTCTCAACCATAGGCCGGCTGTGAAACAACCACAGATTCGTTTTAACACCAAAGATGTGGCCTTGCTGCTTTAGACTATCAGTTGAACTATGTAGTGGCCACTGTTAACAGTTTGAGGATGTCCTTTGTGTTTTCAAGGCATTTCTGTGCATACCTACACTTGCACATTTGTCCCTTTAAGTTTTTCACAGAAATGCGCCTATATTTGCTGGGGAGAGCTTTCCATTTTAGCTTATAATAACTATACTCCTCTCTGTATTCACTGCTGTGTAGCATTCCATATTGTGCCAAAAAGTAATTAGGCCCCTAATTATGCAAACAGAATTTCCCTATTTATTTTAGTGCTACCAAAAGATGGCAGTCCACATTTTTGTACATATGGCTTTGTGCACATATGCAGATATTCCCAGAAGAGAGATTCCCGAGACCGGAAATGCTAAGTCAAAGGCAAGCTCATACACATGAGATAAATTGTAAGGAACTAAACACACACAAATGAGTACAATTATTAATAAAACTGGTGTTTCTGAATAAGATCTGTCCATTGAATGAATGTCCTGATTCCTTGAATGTCAATTTTCCGACTGTAACATTATACTACAGTTTTGTGGGAAACTGGGCAAAGAGTACAGGAGATCGCTGTTATTGCTTACAACTGCATGTGAATTTCTAATACTTTCAATACAAGTTTCCATTGTTCATCCATTTTAAATTGGCATAAACAGGTGTATACAGTATGACCGGCAACATTAGTGCTCTCTCTATTCTCTCTAATGGCGAAGCAGTGGACTACAAGAGACTGAATTGTATTTGCCTCTATTTCCAGCAGACTCAGGTTCAACTTTTGCTCAGGAAAAGAAGGCAGGGAAATTGTATTAGTCCTTTTTATACCAGATTTTCAGGTTCTTGGTCTCCGCGATTCAATTGAATCCACAGACTACAGATCAGTGGTAAGTCAGGATTTATTCAAAGAAACAAAAATTACAACTACAAAAAAAAAACCAAACCTCCTGGCAAAGAGCCAGGAGGGGAATAAGCTCTCCTCCTCCCTCTTTGAGGTCTGTCTTGGGCTCGCTACTCAGGGGTTTATACAGTGGCAGGGGGGCTGTTTTGCCATAAAGTTGACTCCTAGGGCATGGGTCCTGTCAGTTACAGCCAGCTGTCCAATGAGCTCTCAGGCCTTGGAAACTGACATGAAATTCACCAGTCAGGGGTGCACGTGGAAGAGACAAAAAGGCGCCATCTTTGAAATTCACCAGTCAGAGTGCCCGTGGAGGAGACAGCATTGCGCAATCCATGAAATTGACCAGCCAGACGTGCACTGCAGGAGACTGCAAGGCGCCAGTGTCTCCCCCCACCCCCCAGGTGTCTGGCTGGTTCCTCCATCCACCACAAGATCAATGCTTCCAGGGCTAAGGTGGCAGGTCATGGGGCCACCTTGTCCTGCATCACTTTTTTTAATAAAAAAGTTAATATAAAATTATAGGAAAAAAAGGAATCTGAACTTTAGTAATACAGCTGGAACAATCTGCAGCGGCAGCAGCAGCAGCAGCAGCAGGAGACGTTGTTTAATTCAGTTGATTTTCTGTGGTTGTTGGTTGTTTGCTAGTCTCATGGTGATGGAAGCTGCACATTTTTTGAAGGGGTGGAGAAGCTACTGGAAGTTTGGTTCTCCTGGCAGCAACCTGATGCAAACCAAGGATCTGGGGACCTTCACACTATCCTGAGATCTGAGTGGGACATGCTTTTGAAGGCTGTGCAATGTTCAGTCATGAGTGTGACAAAAACTGACAAGCAGGAAGCTTATGTACTCAGTGAGAGTAGCATGTTTGTCTCCAAGAGACATCTCATTTTGAAGACATGTGTCACCACCCTCTTGCTGAAAGCACTGGTTCCCCTGTTGAAGCTTGCTAAGGATTACAGTGGGTTTGACTTAATTTATTTATTTATTTTTTATTTCAGGCTCCTTTATTCCATGAATATTTACAGAACATCAACTATAGGCAAAACATTGACATAATCATTGAAGATAACATTGGGACAAATAGATCAATTTTATGAGGAAACAAAAGCATTATCTACAAATCAATTATGAGATAAGTGTACTCATTACCACCACTCCTAGTAAAGTTGAAGATCCTAGTTAATACAGTTATGATAACTTAAAAATCCCAATGGTTTGTAAAAAAAATACAAATTTCATTACATCCGAGTTACCAAGTTACTTGCAAGTTACCAAAAACAATAGAAAAATTCAGCAATGTAGCTAACTTCAAAATAACTATACAAAATCAATTATATTCCTATGTAAAATAACTGTACAAAATCAATTATATTCCTATGTAAAAAATAATTACAAAATAATATTAGAAAAAGAAAGATAGCAACCAAAATAGAAAGTACCTATCAATATAGCTTTAACAAGAGCTGTGCAATTTTTTTGAATAATCATTTACTACTTGTTTGTTACAGAATACACAAGACAAAATACAAATAGCAAACAAATTTTTTTCCTTATTATGTTTTTACCAAAGTCTAAAACAAAAGATGACTAATATATATAAATAAAAGTAAAAAATAATTTCTAAAAAAAAAAAACCAATCACGCCAAGTCTTATAGACAGTAGAAATAGAAATACTTCAAAATCATTCTACTTAGTCTGGATACCCCTGATAGTAAAATTAGAAAAAAATATATTATTATAAAGGGGAAATTACAGACATATTTCACTGATGAATAAGGATGCAATATGATAAACAACATATTGACATGTTGAATTAAAAACTGATGTTTAAGTAATATACGTTGATAAAAATTAAATCCAGTTTGTGTGAGAATTAGTCATTATTTTTTTTGCCCACACCCCCTCGCTTCTTCTCTGTCTGATCGCCCCCTCCCCCATGCCCCACCATGTCATTGTCATTAATTGTCCTCATATCAAAGTTGAATACATAGGATTCTTACTTCTCCATTCCTGTGATGCTTCACTAAGAATGATGTGTTCCACCACCATCCAGGTTATTTCAAATGATGTAAAATCTTAATTTTTTTGGTGGCTGAATAATACTCCATGGTGTACTTATACCACAGTTTACCAATCCATTCCTGGGTTGAAGGACATTTAGGCTGTTTCCACATTTTAGCAATTGTAAATTGGGCTGCGATAAACAGCCTAGTATAAGTGTCTTTATAGTAAAAGGAATCAAATAGAAAACCTGCAATGAAAACCTGCAGGTTTTTTTATAGTAGAAAACCTGCAAATGAAACCAACAACTGACAGCCACCTAATCTTTGATAAACCAAACAAAAACATTGGCTGGGGGAAAGACTCCCTATTTAATAAATGGTGCTGGGAGAATTGGATATCTACATGTAAAAGACTGAAACTGGACCCTCACCTTTCTAAGATGGTTAAAGAACTTAAATCTAAGGCATGAAAGGATAAAAATCCTCAAAGAAAGAATTGGAAAAACACTGGAAGATATCGGCCTGGGGAAAGACTTTATGAGGAAGACTGCCATGGCAATAGCAATAACAGCAATACTAAACAAATGGGATCTTATGACACTGAAAAGTTTCTGTACAGCAAAGGAGACAATAACCAGAGCAAATAGACAACCTACTCAATGGGAAAGGAGATTTGCATATTTTGAATCTAACAAAAGTCTAATAACCAGGATCTACACAGAACTTCAATTAATCTACAAGAAAAAAACCAACAACCCCATACATCAATGGGGAAGAGAGATGAACAGAATCTTCTCTAAAGCTGATAGGCGAATGGCTACTAACTATATGAAAAAATGCTCTTCATCTCTAATTATTAGAGAAATGCAAATTA